TTGTACTCCCCCCCCCCCCCCCCCCCCCAATCCCTTTCAGTAAGTAATTCCACTTTACCATGTGTTCTTAATGGGACTGTCTGTTTGTAATAAACATGGGATAATTCTCTACTCTACAAAGGCCACTGCAATGATAAACAGTGACACATATTTTCTTGGACAGACTTAACTCTATCACATGACAAGCACATCTAATACATCATATTGCTCATGTACTTACACAATGCACGTCAAGTTGAGACATAAATCTGTAGCAGACAGGAGTGACCATCGTGATCACAGCCAATTTCCTGTTGCGATACCAAGTTCCCCACCCCCTCGACACAAATGCATAAACAAACAGCATTCTGATTAAACATGTACTTTGGTTCTGGGGGGCACACCACTCAGGCACCATTGCTAAACTAGCATTACTTCACGTTCCAAGGCAAACATATTTAAATTCCTCAAGTAACTGTACAACGCACCAAACCCGCAAATAATACACACTACAGAGTACATAAATGTCAAGTCTTACATACATAAATGTCACTTATCAATGGCAATCCTAGGACAACTGCTATTGTGCATCTCCCGTTAAAGACTGTTTGGAAACTCCCTCTCGGTGATGATCACTAAATATTCCCATTACCTCCCACTTTGACATCTCTTGTGGTTTACGCTGTTGTCCACTGTGAACCGTGGCCTAGTAATAAACCGTAATAAAGTAAAGTTTCACATATAATAGATGGCCACACTGCTTGCCATAGTGTTTATAAACTCCTGCACACTTTCCGAGCTGACAGTAATACCCACACACATGTAGAAATTCACGATGGTCCAGGCGCAGACAGCACAGCCATGGCTCACGGTGGACAACATAAACCACAAGAGACACTTCGGTCATTAGACGTAGTGCTGCTACACAAGAATGCCTCCACCTTGAATAGAACAAGACAACCAAGCGTATATGGGTGACTCAGTGGGATAATACAATAGTTCGTGTGCAACGTAAACCACAAATTGTGGTTTACAAACATGACATAAAGCAGGACACCATCTTTATACACAGTGTTTTGTGACAACACATTGTTGCATGAACTATATGGATTTTTATGGACTGATTTTAATATGCCACGCCACTGATGATGACCTCATGAGGTTGAAACTCGTCTGGCACAATGTGTTTTAAAGTGGAAACTGTTGGTTTGTGTATGTTTTTTTATATATAGAAATTTGATACATGGTATGCAAGGTTTTAAGAAATGTAAACATTTATGATCCCCACAGTAACATTGTGGGAAAACTGCTAGTCTATGACATAACAAACTATATCCTGCTGTGAATCTTAGGTAATTCTAATAATAATTGCATTTGTAAATATTTATTTCTTGCCACACAATTAGACACAGGCAGTTTCCAAGAAAAGTTTTAAAAGTCCCTGAATCAGAAAATCTCAGAATAACTACTACATGTAATCTCCAAAAATGTTAATGTAACTCGTAAATCCAACAAATTTATAGATCCAAAAGCTACTAGTTCAGTAACACCAACCTTGATCAAAACAGTCACTGTTTAAAATGCTGACAAGCCTTTCGGTCAGTGAAGAATGTTTAAATATGTCTGTTGTCTGTGTGTCTCCACAGCACATCTCATTCTGTCAAGCACTTTGTTTCATCTAACCTTGAAACAAGATATGTTAACCTCTAACATTTTTACAATAAAAAGAAAATAGCATATTCAGATTCATTTTACTGCAGTTGTGTCATCTGGCTGCAACTTGGTGCTTGGAAGTATCAGTTTTTCGTAACAAGAAGTGACAAGCGGCAAGAACCGAGCAATTTCACTTGGATCAACCAACCTTGATGGAGGAATCTGAAACATCCAGAATTTTAAATAAATTTACTTTGTTATTAAAAAATAAACACACAAAGGCACTTCAATCATGAAAATGAAATACACAGTATTCAAATGTGTTCTTTGCAATTTTGTAACTCCTACTGGCTTTATATTTTCATTTACTGTGGGTCACTGTTTATGAACTCATCAACAGTCACAATATTACACTGCACAGAGGCATAAATTATTTTGTTTATTTCACCAAAATACACCAGATGGACTAAAAAATGTTTCACATACAAGTTGTAAACGTCAATGAAATTTATATTTCATGTCAGATAAGTTTTTGTATGATGGGCTGTTTTTAAAAGCTTGATGAAGTTATAATACTTATGCGTGTAAATCAATGAGCTACCTGCAATTTATAGGACTGGAACTCTGAAAAATTTCTGAAATAAGAAAACAAATTTGAGCACAAGCCAGAACTTCCTTTTATTTTCTAAATTTATCATCCCAACTGGGCTTATTAAATTTCCTAAAAATTTAACCTGACACATTTGTGCTAATGGCTTATTATCTACCAGTCACACTATTCTAACTTACTAGAGAAAATGGGTCACCCATAACTTATGAAGAATCAGGTATTTGTTTACTTACACTTAGATCTTGTGCCTTTGCTTCTCTGGACGTATATTCTCGTAGAATGAAGTCTGAGCCAAACTCGTGGTAATAGCGAGTGTCATTCATCCTTAACATCACACTGTCAATTCGAAGGAAGTACCTTAGCAGAATAAAGAAACTGCTAGGCATTACCCTCTGAAAAAAGGCATAAATTGACCAATTATCTTATGAAATATCAATAAAAACAAATTTAAAGTCCAAAAACACTACTAATGTCAAAATTGTGGACTCTATTATCATAGCATGGCATTTAAAAATGTACTTTGTGCAAATGCTCGCAAACCTAGCTGATTGATACCAGTTATTAAAACTGAAAACATGTAAAAGGATTACTTTCTTAATAACTAACAACTAAAAACCCTTTTTGGGAAGTTAATAGTTGCTCAGCTAGTCAAGAAATTTCCTGCCTTTTATGGAACCTGAAGGTTTATGACAACATTCACAAGACCCTGTATAACATTTTGTTATATCCTGGAGCTTTATGGTGAGAAATTGTTGGTCCGCTCAGCCCCAAAGTTGGAAGACCACCCTTTGTTGACTCTCCACACATAGTTGTAGAGTATATTTACAGCTAACTTCCATATCTGTGGGAAGGACTCAAAAAATTGTTGAAACTCAGTAGACAGACAAATATTCTGGTTGCGGGAAGGGGGGAGGGGGGTTATAAGGTATTGGGGCATTCAGAAAATTTGAGATGTTAGGCTAGGCTGGTGTGTCAAAAGAAAAGAACTCTGATGTCACTATTCTGGGCAGCAGCACATGGCACCTGATAAACCTCATTTCATGAAACTGAACCAAACTTCCAAATGTTAAGATGGAAAATTGTCACACTGTCTGTAATTTTCTGGCTGCTGGTGGCAACCAGGCAACTACACGTTTTGAGCCCTGTCAAGAGGCACTTTTCTCAATCGGAGAATGCAGCAGGCTGTACCGACAGCAACAGTATAGGTTATTAAAACTACCAGGGCTAGAATGTGATTACACGTATGTACAAAAAAAGTAAGTATGGAAACATGCTAAATTTTCAGTTAGCCAGAACCAAACAGGAAGAAAGTTTGATGCAGGACTGTGTAAATATGACAATTATATAAGACCTACACAAAAGTCAAATACAAATCTCATTATGTCATAAAGTCCTCTACATTTTTATACCAGGCTTATGGAAATGTTTTCAGGATCCTATGTAAATGGCGAATGAGGACAGACAGGATTAAAATTTATATTCTAATAGAATGATTGATTATTAGTACCAGAATAAAGGATTTAAGTCCTTGTAATACAGAGCTGATGGCTGGACTTCAACTCTGAGTTTAAACAGTTTAGTGGTATCCTGCTACTGCAACCAACAGGCAGATGGACCATACATCACCAATGACACATGGCTGAAAATGTTTCAGCTGCCTTGAAAGAGATGGGAAAATGTTCAGAAATTGTGATTAGATAACAAGCTGGAAGGAATAGATTGTTACTTGTATGAAGGCAATGTCCCAACATTTACCTGGGGAGACAGAAAAGCATAAAAAATTTGTGTGGATAGCCAACAACAAAGGTAGGATTTGAGGTTTTCACAGCAGTGCATCTAAAGATGGCTGTCTTCTGGGCTGTTGCGCCATGTGGTCTTGTAGAGGTTTACTGGCGTTTCAGAGGTCCTTGCTGCCTCCATCAACAAAGTGATGAGGCCCATCACCCTGATGATGGAGGCAGCAAGGACCTCTGAAACACCAGTAAACCTCTACAAGACTACATGGTACAACTGCCCAGAAGACAGCCATTTTCAGCCAACAACAAAGTTGAGAACTGAACTGGATATATCCCAAATATAAGCTTACAGCACTGCCACTATACCACCCTGTTCAGCGTGGTCCTTGAGTAATATATTGAGAGTGGTGAAAAACAATCAAGACATCAACACATCATGGATTAAACTATCCAAAGAACAATGTAAAACACTGAACACTTCTACAAGTTTTGTATAAATATTCTTCCTTCCTCGTCCTACTCACAATCTTAACGGAGCACACGGCTGTGCCATTGTCGTGCAGCTCATCTTCAAACAGTAAGAGATCGTGGTAGAAAAGGATCTTTTCTCTTTGGCGTAGTTTTTCTACATCTATTCTAGAATCTGTTGGTGTTACTGCAAAGCCTCCAGTCAGGGTACCCTTATAGTCTGTTGTAAATGTCCAGTCAAATGGTTTCACCTCATCCATATGACCTGACTCCATCCTGCAAAGTCATGAGTTTACTTAGAAAATGCTACTCAAACTTTGTTCAGAACTGGTAATTCAAGACCAACATACTTCGGGATTGGTTGAATCTGTCTACTCTTGTGATGCAGAAGCCAGTGGTAGGAACAGCAAAAGATCTTAGTGCAGCTACTAAACAGGGGCAAGTTTACTGAAAAGAAATCCTTGGACCTCTAGGTAAGGGTTTGGGGAATGTCTGACATGGAGATGTCAGATTTGTGATGAGCGCGACAGACGGTCTTCTTCTACAGTATGCCTGACATCTCATATTGATACTACCGGGTCTACAATTTATGCTGTAACGGCCTTGCTTGCATTGCGTGCTCGGCCGAGTGCACTGTTGGTGTGGGATAGAGATAGCGTGTTCTTCCCGTGAACACAGGAGAATCAGTTTCATTGCGTCTCTCGTCGCGGATTGACGTTGATAATATGGTGTACAGTATTAAGCAACGTGTGTTCTTAGTCGAAACATATGCCAAATATTCATCCTACGGAAGATGCCGCCATAAATATCGCAGACATTTTCCCGGTGAAAGTGTTCCTAGCAGGCTCACGATAGAGAGATTAATAAAAAAATTTTGTAGTACGGGATCAGTTTTGGTTAAAAAGAAGAACAGGAAACCACAATTCATTTCGGCAATTTCCGAAGAAGAGCTTCGTCAAGTATTTAGAAATATGTTAACGAGATGTGAAGCTTGCCTGCAAGCACAAGGAAGTCACTTTGAATATCTTTTGTGATTTAAGGTAAGAACAATTAATGTAATAACATGTATTAGTGACGAGAAATATTCGTAGTTCGCTGTTACTAGCGGCACTGAAACTGATTCGCCTGTGACTCACGGGAATAACACGCTACCTCTATCCCACACCAACAGTGCACTCGGCCGAGCACGCAATGCAAGCAAGGCCGTTACAGCATAAATTGTAGACCCGGTACTTGTATATACACAGATCATAAAATGTAAGCAGAATTAAAGTCACGCTGCATTACTAACCTTTCACTATATATGTGCTTCTGGTACGTGGAAGAGTGGGGGGGGGGGGGGGGGGGGTACTAAAACTACCAAATACTGCATACTTGCTGCTGGATAGGTCTTTCCACTGTGTGGTAAGTAACATGAAGTCATCGTAGCCACAAATATGTGAGCAAAATTATTGTCTTTTTGTGAGAACTAGTGAAAACAAGCCAGTGCTGCATATATGAGTGAAGAAATGGACAAGAAAACAAGCGTGTTTTAGAGACCAACAAAGAAGAGCAACCAACACAGAATAATTATTCAAGTGTTACTATTTCAGGTATATTAAGTATAGTAAAGAGGAAATCATTACCAATTACAATAATGGTTAAATATATCCATTTTTTCCATGAAGAACCAGTGTGGTATAAATGAAAAGTGTTACAATATCTTCATGAAAATGTTCCTTTATTTGGACACTTCCCAAAAATATGATTTAGGTTGCCTGAGGTTTACAATCATGTTTGTTCTTGGGACCCAAAGTTCATTTATTTACAAAAACATGAAATGCAATTATATTACACAACTAACCTTGTCTCTTCTGTTGCCTGACTTGTCAATTTGGTAAGTGTAATTTGAAACAGATTTGTCAGTCTTGACAAGTATAATTTTAAAGTAAAGAAATACTCTTATTAAGTTGTTTCAAGAATACATTACCGTGATTCTTTCCAGGCATCCGCACATGCTATTTTTAGACCTAATTTTCCATTGCAAACACGCTTCAATGCATCCAGAGCATTAAACTCAATATTACAGCCACTGGTATGCATCAGTTGTAACGAATTGTTGGCAAACACCATATCGGGCAAATGTGGCACCTCAAGAATCTGATTGTACCTGTAACATTATTGTAAATTTAAATTTATTTTGCTAACTATGAGGTCATTCAAATGAAACAATTTGTAGGTGATCATGTGGCTTCAGAAGTTCACCAAGAACTGTGCAACAAAATGGCCATGTTACAGCAAACAGGAACAGTATGACTTGGTTAAATGCTTTTATTCCAGGTACAGAATCTCTGCAGAGTCATCACTTTCGTGGAGCCAAGGTTTCAAGGACACTGACATTAATATTAATGCACAACACTGTTGTGTAACCCTCAGTGACCTTCATACTGACATAAAGAGAAAGCATCCCAGCATGCTAAGAACACCTTGTTGCCCAACAATGCCTGCCCGCACTGACGAGGGCATACTGTGCTGCATGTGCTGGCCAATCTCATACATCCCAGATCTGTCACTATGTAGCTTCCATGTGTTCAGACCCATCAATAAAGAGCTAAATGACCCTAGATTTGGGTTGGATAAAGATATAAAGTGGTGCAGTGGGTTTCATTTGAATAAGCCACACAAAAGAGAGACACAACATCCAAAACAATTTACATGCATCAGTGGCAATGGAGTATCATAACAGATGTATTTATTTAAAATGGAACTGCGCATTTGACTATGCCCTACACTATCTATCTTGGTTGCGTTTCTTATGGGTTTTACCTTAAGTAAGAATTCACACCAAAACTACGCCACAACTGTTACCACCAAAGGAGTGTTATCTGGTAGTGCTTTACAGAAACTTTTGTATCCAATTTTAGAACCTTTGATCATATAAGATGTATCACTGGTCAGTATTGGACAGTATGGTATGGCATTTATCCAACATGAAAATGTAGTAAATTTACATTTCAATACTGTAGTAACACCCTGTCAATAGCAACCACAAATAAATAATTTAACCCAATATTACACAATCTAGTTCACCACCTAACACAAACATATTACCATTAGTAATTTCCGGGTAGACTGGCTGGTAACAAGTAAAGCACACCGATTTTAAATTTCATGGATTTTTAATTAATTTACTTACAGGCAGAACAAACAACATTCTGAGGCATCATCACCACAATGCTCGTCATTGGAACATTTTGAGTGTAAGATGTGGCTCCGTTTATATTTCACTTGCCATGAATTAAATGTGTGCTCTTAACAGTCGCAAAATATCGCCACTGTTCTCTTGAGGTTCCATTGTCTAACGAAAATTATATTCAGTCGGAACACCCTTGTAAATACAAGTAGCGTTCTCAGTGTACATAACACATATTAGGTCATCTTAAACGAACTGTACAATTGCGTTTACTCACTTTCCACAATTTCACTCCAACTTTTTAAATCACCAAGACAAAATAAAAAATGTATACAATACCGTTCAGCACTAACGATCACACACTTTACAAACCACACATAATATCAACATACAGTTCGCTAACTCAACGTTTTAAGTTGGCAACAAAAACGGCTTACGACTGTGCTTCCATCCATCTGCAGCTGGAGTGAAGTGGTATAGAAGCAGTAACAACCGGAATAAAACATGGCGGCATGTTGTGGCTGTAAAGGCCAGCCTCATCAGGCTATCTTTAATGGTTCTATGTTTGGTTCAACTTTACATGTTAAAATGTATCGCCCTAAAAATTGCTAGTTAGTAAATAAATGGTTGGAAATTTGTGGTATAGTTACATGTACACGGTATGCTCTCTGGTGGCGGAACCCGCAGGTCCAACGCCGCCACCGGACACGATCGTGAGCGAACTCCATCCATTTACCATCCCCACAGCCCACCTCCCTAAGATCCATCTTGATGTCAGGTACCTGCATATTTTGCTTCTACTGCAGATCATTCTTAACTTTTTTCTGGGTAACATTCATGCTAAAAGTACAAACAAAACACATTTTCTGATGTTTAAGATCATTTGGATTCATCATTAACAGAAACAAAATTTTAATACTTCAATGCATTTATGCATGGACAAATTTTATTTGGCATTCTTCATGCAAGAGAAAAGATACTACTATAATATGGCTTTCAATTCCATCAGTCTGATGTAATTTTGTGTGGGAGACGTCTGCTAAATCAGTGACAAAATAAGATTATGTTATAAGCTGATTATGACTGCCTCTTCTTGACTTGAAGCTACAAATAAACACAGCATACACTAGTCCGAAAGACATTTCACTGAGACAAGCACTTTATTCTGGCATCATCCATAATCACCTAGCTTTGTCTTGTATGTCTGTTCACACTTACGAGAACCCAAACCATTTGATTTCAATCAAACCCAGTTATATGATTCAGGGTCTTTACACTAAGCTTGATAAAAAATTATACACAGAATGTCTTTTAAGGCTCAAAACCATAATGGCCTACACACATTTTTAGGCATATCTCACAAAATAATACCCAACAGAAAAGCGTCTTAATACAAGCTACACCCACACAACTTCAACCACAAAGATAGCTACAGGCTGAGCAAAGCCTGGCTTCACCTGTTTTCCTCCATACTATCATCCCTAATGGGTCATCAAAAGGGCTGGTCCACTATTACATCTGCAAATATCAGCAAATAAACAGCCGCCACTCCCTTCCACATAATCAGTGCAAATCCTTCCCTATACAAGTTCACCAGAACCTTCTTCACCTCTCAAAATTCTGTCACCTCCTTTCCTCAATCACATGTTCCTCTCCCACTGGATATGAGCCCCGCTCCTCTGCTTCACCAATCAACACCACCAAATTTATCTTGCCACTCACTGCCTGCCCTATATAAGACATCTAGAACTTGCCCCACCTCATATCTACCTTGAAAATCACAACTGCAATGTTTGCTGAAATGTTGGTTAACATCAAACATTCAAGGTGGCTCTCATCTGAAAGCTGACGTTATATAATGATCTCCAGCTTTGAAAACCTACAGGACAAGAAGCTTAGTATGTGCAATTAGGAGGAGAATTTTCTAACCTGTTTTTATTAAATATATGCATATTATTTCTTGATGTGCTCAGAAGCTAAATACATATTTACTTGAAAGGGCTGGAATGAACTACCGGACAAAAGTAAATTTAAACACAAGAATTAAATAAAAATATTTGTTTAATTAACTACATATAAACCCTATCACCAACAAAATTCCTTCATATAAATAATAATAATAAATATATGCAAATATAAACCCAATCACACAGTTCATTTCTGTTAACTATGTAGCACAATTTCATATGTAAACATTTTGAAGTTACAACACTAGTTTCTTTTCTCAATGACATGAAAATGTGTATGTTGGTTATTTGTTGTCATGTGTACAGATAAATTTATTTCAAACATATTCACATATAATATTCTGGTGATATCAATAACAGGATTTGGTGATGAAAATATCTTTCTCTTAGGTACAATAAACCATGTGTTGTCTCCAGATATGTCTAATAAGTAACACTCTTCTGTAATCTATAATTACTTTAATTGCAGCCTTTATCAGCCATATCCAAACAACATGTACAAAATTGAAAACACATTTCTTCTACTCCATCACAAGTGTACAAAAATGTGTATAACAGACCCAACTTAACATGGTATATACTTATCATGTAGTATCCCTATAAGATGCCAGCAAACTAAAGCTATGTTGTGGAATTAATTTTTATATGATGTGTTACATATTTAGTGGTATAAAAAATAAAAAAGTAAAGAGCAATAATAAATAACTAGGAAGGCAATAATTTTATACAACCAATATGAGATATGAAAACACTATATTAATCACAACACAATATGGAAAAATCTCATTATTTAAGGCACTGCCAATTTAGGACGGTCATTTAGGCAGAATGGCATCTGTCTTCAAGCTCTTTGTAATAGATCATAGCTCAAATTTGTGCACATAACAAATGGCAGCTCTCCTTCACAATCTAGTAGATAATTCACATTTGTAATATATATCAAACAATATCTACACTGTCAAATATTACTAATATGCACATTGCAGTGTTGTAGTAATATACACCAATAGACTTTCCTCCCCTATTACTGTAAAATTACATTGTGTTATTTCTCTTATTATTTTTGGTGATGATGCCTTTCAATGCCGACTGACAGTTTTAATTCTACTTCCCCTCGCTGTCACTGTGTTTCATTTCATGATGTTATTTTCCATGCACTTCTAGCCATCATACATTTCAAATCCAGAAACTACTACATTTCACATACACACAAACTATGACTTTTATTTTGTTCCTGCCTTCATGATTCACCACTCTGTATTAAAATTATGTTAATGTTAATTTGTATATTTTTTTAATCATACTATATGTGTAGGAGCAATTGCTTCTTGATTGATAAAAACTGCTAATGGGCATTGTTGTTTCATGTCGGAACATTCAATGATTTAACATCAAGGCTCCTTTCTGATGAAAGGGGCAGACTGATAAAATGCATCTCTTTAACAATCTTCTATCCAGAAAGACTCCAACAAAAACTACTGGAATGTCTGAGAAATGAATACTATGAAACACAACATACTACTTCAACGAACTGCATCACAGGCACCACGATTCAAAAGAATAAGGAAATACAGCAGCTGCTGGGTGATGGGAACACAACAGAGGTACTCATTGGAGAAACTGCGATTAACAAAACTTAAATTTGCAAAGAGGAAAGGAAAAAGCTCCTGTTCCTGGCATTATCTCCCACAGAGTAGCAAGAACCTTCATCTGCACATCTTTTAGGTATCTTGTAGTTATTCTTGGATATTTAATTTTGTCATAAAGTTCTAGAAAAATATATCATGGGCAGAGAAGCATTTATCACCCTGTAAACTGCAGTTACAGTACTTTTACATTAATAGGAAACACATCATTCACAAAGAAGCAGAAGATGTATCTTAAATAAATATAGCACTGTGCTTATGTGAAAACTTTAATTTAAACTGTCAATTCATGTCTTCTGAGTTGTGACACATGTAGTGTTGCTCAACTCAGAAAACCACAATACACATCTTCACTGCCATGAGAACTTCAAATTTCAGATTAAATCTAAATGAAGTGAAAACACGTCTGGTACTAATTGTGAATGATGCAAAAACAGAAATATGTGTAGAATTTCAATTAGATGTTAGTGATCAATTTGATAATATAAGCAAACTACAAAATCCAGACATACTGACCAGAATGTGAACATGTTCCAAACAAAGACTGAATACATGCTGATGACAGTGAAGCAAAATTTTATCATCCACAGTACAAAATAGTCATAATACAAAACCATAGTGTCTCACATGTAAGTCATATTCTGTCTTTTAATTAAATATATCTATTAACGCCATACTTAACAATTTTATGGAACAAAAATTACATCATCTAATGACACAATATGAAAGACAATCATAAAGAGGCATAAAACACCACAGGCTGTGAAATAAACATGCTAACATGACCACATGTGTTACTCAGATGCCTGTCCGTTTGTCAGTAACTATTATGGTACCTGATTTATGCTGGTTAGGAATAACACTGCAGAAAAGAGAAAACAAGTGTCTCCTTCCATACTCTGTAACACACCAATGTAATACAGTCAACAATTTTCTGAACTTTTGCAACAGTAACAGAACAACGTAATTCTTGTCTCCCTGTGTCTGAGCATAAACAGAATGTGTGGTCAGTGGTTCACTGTGTCAAGCACATTACAGGCTACTCAGTTTGGTGAATTATGTTATTATAAGAACCTGTTAGAACAAGATGCTGTAATAATCTGAAAAGCAAGTGAACATTAAGTTTTGTATACAACATGGCGCAGCAGCCAGTTTCTGGATTCCCAGAGATGAGATCACTTGCAGGAGATAGTTTCTCACAAATAGCAAAGAATGAATATAAATGGTCTTGTTGATATTACATTTCTCTGAAATTAACTCATGCAGTAGTCTCATTATGACCCACCATTGGCCTTTCCTTCCGCAGGTCGTCATCTTTCGCGGATTGCCGGTCCCCCTTGAAACAGCTAATCCATGATGATGAGACATGCTGCAGTGTACAAATGGCTTAATTGCTTCAAAGGGGGCCAAAAATCACTGGAAGATGATGACCTGTGGAAGGAAAGGCCAGTGGTAGCTCGCAATTAGACCACTGCACGAGTTCATCTCAGTACAGTTTTCAAACTCATTCTTTGCCACCTGCAAGAAGCCACCTCCTGCACCATAACAATGCATTAGCTGATCTGTGTCTTTTGATACAGCAGTATTTGGCCAGGAAAAGGTATGCAACCAGCATACTCTCCATATCTAGCCCCTGCCAGAAAAAAATAATTTTTGATGGGGCGACAGTTCCAGTCAGCAGAAGAGATGAAAGGTGGTGGCAGTACAAGACCTGCAGAAGCGTAACAACCAATGAGAGAAATGTGCAACAGTGGAAGAAAACTACTTTGAAACATTCAATGGTGACATGGGAAAAACTTTATGAACTTTTTGACATATTAACTATAGAATATCAGGAAGCCAAAGTTCACAGTGGACTGTAGAGCTTGAGAAGAAGAACCATAGAATATTACTCTGCAATGTGAAAAAAGTGCTACAGTTACTTAAAAGACATTCAGCACGGTGCATATACATTTTAATTATTTTAAATATGACTTACATGTGATGTGATGTTAAAAGGATTTCTGTTTAAAAATGAAAGTGTCAAAGAAAAGGAACTACAGTCCTCTTTTAAGTTCTATTCCTGTGTATTTTTCCTTGCACAAAACTTAACTTATTTGGACATATAAAATCCATCATGTTAAACTGTTTACTAACAAGTCAAAAACAACACAATTTGTTTACTCCAAAGGACTAAAAAATTTCACTTAACCACATAGAATATCAAAACAGCAATGACTGGAAGCCAATGAGTTACAGGGAAATATTATAACATTAGCTTAAATTCCTTCAAAATTGTACACATTTCAATTTGGGAATAAAAAGAAAGTTTTTAAAATACAAGACCACTTTAACCTTTGTCAGTTACCCAGCTAGCAGCATGTCACAGTAGCATACTACTAAAGTGTTAAAACTCTGAATTACAATCTTGCTGGTAGCTCTGTAGAATGGGGCTTCAAATCCCCTATTCTTGAACGATTAAAGTTCGTGGCTCTTTTTAAATTGTTTTTAAAGTTTACTTATGAAGAATACTGCAACACCCAAGAGTCAGAGTTCTGAATCCAAACAATATGAAATATGTTAAACTCTCTGGTTTCCAGACATAATAACAAAAAAGATGGCAGCATTAAATGACAAAACACCTCATTAATACAGACTGCAATGGAATGCACTGCCGCAGAATGGTTATCCCACAAACTTTAATGTTACTAGTTAGTAACACTATAGTCCAGAACAAAAGGCACTATAAATGGAGAACAACTGCATTTTGTTCTGGACTAAAAGCATAACAAATAATGAGGCATTTTACTGATTATATTTCTCTCACACACACACAATCTTATTTTTATGCAGTATTAAAATAACAAAAATAGACCGTGATTACATTAGTATCACTGGAAAGATTGATAATGGAATGTATTCAAGTTTAACAAAATATTTATTTCAGTTCCACATGTACAATTTGGAAACATTAAGAAAAAGAAGCAATTAACCATAAGGATATAATTTGAGTTAAAAATTCCAGCTTTACTTAAAATGTTTTCAGATGGGATAGTATTTGTAAAATATTCCATAAACAAAAAGGAATAAAGCCTTTGAGCATGTAAGCTGTAAATGCATTTTAGGCATTTCTTTAATATGAATTTTTTCACCATAAACTGTCGGCAGTTATATTTATTGTGCAAATAACTTCCAATACATTTACAGCAATAGTACTGGACAAATAGGATTTTTTTTAGTATCAGAACTGCTGTTCAATATGATGGAAACAAATACTTTCAAAAAATTGGTTTGGATATTGCACACTTCTGCAATAAAATTAATGAAGCCTATGACAAATTGCACATGAAAGAGAAAAGTCTGAACTGATTGACTGTACAGTAATATGTCCCATACATTTGCAGCAAACTGGTTACGGAGATCTGAATGACATACAAATTAAATGGAATGTAGTACAAAGTTATGCTGGAACTATCTCAGTACCTTCCTGGAAGGACTAAGAAATCTTTGTCATACTCATAGAATCAATTTTCTGCATTCAATCTTTGGATCTTCTGAATACAGATATTACCAGTCTGCCAAAATTTTGCCTGTATTGTCAAGAGTACTACAGAAGCAATTTTAAACAACTTTATTCTTTGCCCAAGTTATAATTCTCAAATCTGAGTAAAAAGATATCATAGGTTTTACGTCACTTGTCCCAAAAAAGTGTCTGATCAACATGAAAAGGGAGTTTTCCTTTATTTTTTACTTTCAATTAAGCACAGAAGATTTTATAATGAAGGGACCAACATCTGTCACAAATGTGACTGATTAGTGAATTGTTCTGAATCAATTTTCAACCCCTCTCCTACCACATCAAAACTGTACTATAAAGTAGCCAGGGTTTTACTAATCTGCCACCCACAAATGCTTTTCAACTAAATTAACATTTATATATTCCACAAATAATGCACATTTAATATGGACTGATCTGCATCATCAATAACATTCAGAGATGAATGATACTGCATTCTTCTGAAACTTAAAAATACAGTGACTCAGTGAAGTTAATATAAGAACTAACTTCACAGCCAATGAACTTTCCAGTTCTAATATTGTGGTAAATAATTTACATACTTTCAAGAATAAATTATTTACCATAATGCTAACAAATGAAATATTAGTAATAGAAACAAATTTAACGTTCATCATGATTATTTCATAATAAATTCTATATCATTGGTTTCCTAACATAAAGGTATTTTACTGGACTGGAGAGGAATTCTGTAGTGTGACAGCCAACCACTGCTTGTATCAGTCTAATGGACTTTACAATATATTACAAAGTAATATATGAAAGTGCCACTCATCCCCCCCACCTCCAAAAAGTCTGAACCAAGTTATCTACATTCCATGTGAAACTGAACTGTCTACATCAACTCTGGATCTAAATCCTTATTGAAGAACAAAATACTTATGTAATACATAAAGAGAACAACTGAATATTTCCTTCTTAAATCAATAGCATCATTTCAGAGGCTAGTCTCTTATTGTTAAAATATTTCATTTGAATAGTTTATGGAACGCTTATTCTAAAGGAAAACATATTTGCATATGCTGCTATAACTCTACAATTTGTGGTTTGGACGGATTATACTCCAATCACATCAGTCTACTAACAGTGACTTCAATATACACATTCCAGAAATTCTGTGAAGGAAACAAATACAAATAAGGAAGGTCTTTGTGATTACATTATACTTCAGGTTTATCAATATTAGTTTGAATTCCTATGTAACCAAGTCACCCAAAATTATTTAACACCCAAAACAATAATTTATGCATAATAATAAATACTGTACACGATTCATGGGCTCATCAGAGACTATGGAAAATAACATGACTGAGTTGTCAATAACATTCGGAGTGATATCATTATGCTAAAAAAAACAACCTCCAATCAAAACCATTGTTTTAGGCCCTCTTTTATACACACAAAGCAAAACATTACACAAACCATACAACTCTTTATTGCTGTGAACTCCTGTAGGATATGTTACTGCATGTGCCTCTACTATGAAGTTGTCATATTGGCAAATACTTGTCCTTTTTAAAATTTACTTAAATTTGATGCTTACTTTTCCATAATTCAACTATGAATATATATGTTCTGTAGCTTGAAAATGTTAAAGAATTTTGTCCCTAGCATGTGATTACAAAACGCACATACTTTCACAATTGGAATGTGAATGAAGACTTTTGGTGCCAGAGTGAATGTAATTTGGACCGACTGCTAGTAAAGGATGCTTCAGCTATCACTAACTTACTCAATGTATAACATTTTGACTCTCCTGTCGCTCAACAAGTGTGTTAAATTGTCACACAGTGAAATTTTATGCATCATGAAGCAAGCTGTCAGGTGTCACTGTATACAGCTTTACTTCCTTGCCCCTGCTGTCCAGGCTACACCCAGTTGCTTTATTGTCTACAAACCACAAAGCCAACCTGATCGATACTGAAATAACAAAACAGCCCCCAATGCCAGTCAAACCAAACGACACTCAGAATTCAACCAGTGTGTGTCAACATTCCGTCCAAGCGGAGATAAACACATAATCAAGATGGACGTCTTCTGGGGTGTTGCACTGCACAGTCTGTTAGAAGTTTATCGACATTTTAGAGGACCTTGCTGTGTCCATCATCAGGGCGGTGAGTGAGCGATCACTCATCGTCCTGATGATGGAGGCAGCAAGGAATGCTCAAACGCCAGTAAACTTCTAACAGACTACATGCCACAACACCCCAGACACACCACTGTGAAAACCTGAAATCCTGAAGACACACAATGGCTGAAGGCACAAGAGTACTAAGAGATGCCAGCCAAATGCCAGACCTTGTACATACTGAGAGATGAGGAATGGCAAAGCATTATGATGACATATTTGGGATCAGTATGGTGGACTACATTTAGGAGATTTCTGAGTGATGCTGGTTACACAAAATAAATCATTCACTTTAACTTTACAATATAAACCAACCAGTCATGTTATTTCAGAATGTTAAACAGAATAAAATTACTGTCAACACCCAAGGCTGACTTTAGCCCCTGTGAGAGACCATGCTTATAACAGAAAATATTTACATGTACTTCAAATGCTAAGCACTTTATTTCACCAATAAACAATCTAAAAATGTTGAACTATACGAAGAAACCATTCAGCTCTGCAGAAGCCTGACTTCTCCCTGGCTATAATTTGCTAATTTTCTGGCATGTAATTAAAGCACCAAACTTTACATAGATATTTCCTTGTGCTTTTAAGGTAACAGGAGACGAATTACGGAATGTCGTCTTGAAATGAAGACTTACACGCTTTCATGGTCATAATGCAGGACTTCGTGTCTGTATGGTGATGTGAGCCTCCAGACAGGATTAATTGTTAGTCTGCATCTCTCCTATGACATACCTCGAAGAGATATTTAATTATAGCACTTGTTTCTGCCACCTCTTAGCTACATTTTAACTATTGGTTTGAAGCTTCTTACACACACACACACACACACACACACAATTTCAGGTTCTCAATGATGAATATGAAGAAGGCCATCTTGTGGGATGCTGCACTGTGTAGTCTGGTCAACATTAACTGACATTTCAGAGGAACTTACTGCCTTCTTCTTCAGGGTGGTGGTGATGGAGACAGTAAGCTCCTCTGAGACACTGGTAAATATCCATCAGACAAGATGGCCATCTTCACACAAATACATGCTTTTTACCTTTAAATTTCAGTATGTACTTAACAGATTAGCTTCAAATGTACCTTTTTCTGTTGTGGAATTACATTAAAAAACAATCTGCATGTGTGGAACTACACTTCTATCTACAATGGTTTTCTGTCAACATCTCACAGCAACAAGTTAGCCTTGGGTAATACAAAGTATTACTTTACACCAATACAAAATTATCTGAAAAGCAAACAAATGTAAAATGTAAATGTGGGAATGTACAAGTGTAGGAATGCAGTTTGGTGACAAGACATGGCTCTGCATAATAGCACACATTTAATTTTAATCATATTACTCATATGATTCTTCAGATTTAACACATTTATTCAAATAGAATATGCCTAGAAATAAGCTCTTTTTTCACTTGAAACAAATAGGAGGAATGTACCTTTAATGATGACTTTCAGAATATGTTATGTACAGTGCACATCTGAGTACAGCATCATTCTCTGCTGCTGTATCTTAGCAGTTGTCTCCCTGCACTGGGAAAATAATGCTCATTCAATTATCAACAGGTTAATATAATTACCAACTGTTATAATATTGTGGGTACTCTAACATAAAATCTCCCCATTACATATGCAGTAAGGTCTTAACCCTTAGAAGGTCTATATTTAAAAATTTAGTTCCTACGAAAAAATCTCCATTGCAAAGATCAATCGGTCAATGTGGTTCATTTTAAGAATCACATGAAAGTGAACCAGCTTAAAGAGCAATACACTAAAAACAATTAATTTTAAAAAACGTTTATTGTTAAACCAGACAGAAACACGCGATGCGCTCAAACTATCCAGCGAGCAAAAGAATATTTGTTGCAGCAACATTACCAATAAGATACATTGTTTTCAAACATTAAATATCCAATCAAATTACAGGTCAGCTTTAAACCACACAGAACTAAAAACTGACTCAATTTGGCTGCAATGAATATTGTGAGATGTGTTAAAGAGGCAAATTTCATGGTTGGTACAACCATTGACAGGTCACTCAATTCTATTTTCTATAAAACATCCATCACCAAACCCTCAACAGGACAAGATGACAGGTTATACGGCCTGCATCGTGAAGGGAGCGACTAAAATTCGATTGAACGCCAGTGACTTCAAAGGCGCCAGTGGTGTGATGTTAAGCCAGGCCTGGTATCCTGTGATGAACATGCTATACAATCAAAAATCTGGGCCAAAACAGAGTGAGCACTTGACTCCAATCACCAGTACCCATTGGCTAGCATGCAGCCATGAACACTGCTCGAACAGGTATATACATGACCTGGATTGGACTTCCAACCACAGCAGTGCCCTGAGGACGAGGACAGAGATGGTTCTAAAAACATCAGATTTTTCGCCTTTTAACCACCTGACACGGCTGGTAACCTGAGAGATCTTTGTTAAAGAAATAAACATATTTTAGGAGAGTTGTGTTAGTGCATTAGTTTCTAAAACTTCACAACTCAATACGCACGAACACATTCTCAACTCTCTATCTTTAGGGGAGGTGGTAAGCCCCTGTATGCACATGAACTTACAGGCTTTTTGTATCTACTGACTTCTTTATGGTGATATATTTGTAAACAGAGTTGTTGTAAATTTGTTCATCCCTTTCCCTGCAACTTGGTTTGTTTATACACACTGGTACATTTTTATCTGAAAATATCATAGAAGCATAAATTTATACCACTATTTATAATGCTGTTAGTGAAGATACTGACTTCTTTTTATATCTCTAATACACAAAGTAATAAAGTTATTAAATACTTTTCTATCAAAAATGTTGAAAAAATAGATCTGAAGTATTATGTGATGCTTTATTAGACTAATCACCACAATGAACCTGGCAAATTATACACAATCACGAGCAATTATAAAGTTTCATTCAGATATTGCTTCTTTTCTCACGGTTTTCATGTTTCGTAATTCAGAACAATATTGTACTCCGTCACTAATCTTCATAACCTGGCTACAACAGCAAAACACTTCCTCTCCCCAGAGGTAAAACCTAGGCACGACACATAGGATATTGAACATAATTTGGCCTTAACACCCAACGAATAGTTCTGTTTGAAAAATAGTCAACAGCAAAAACAGTTTGATAATAGTTAACAGCTATCACACTCAATCCTTCCCAAAAACTCAATAAATTAAGAAATTGTTATAGGTGATCTTTCACGTCAAAATACATACTGATAATGACCAATAGTTTAATGTACATATGGAGTAAACCTTGCCACAAGAAGAATAGATTTTGTATGAAGATAATTACAGCAAAATTCCTGAATAATTACTGAAGCTCCTTTCTGTTCTGTTAAACAATTATAATAACAATTTCCTTCCATTTCACTGGCAATTATTATTATTATAAACAGAACTGTGGATCTCAAAATGTGGTTTTTCACCTACTACTTACATTAGTTCTATTGGAATTAGGTGAATATGTGGAGATTCAGATATATCCAGCTTCTCAATACCAACACAAGGTCACCATTAGCATAACTAGGATCAACTCACCAGTATTTCAAATACTGTTGCAAGAGGCCAATGCCAAACCTGATTTAGGCTTTGCAGTTATAAAACATAAGCATGTCCGATAACTTTGTTTGCAAAGGCCTATACTATTCCATTTTATACACCAGAGTCACAGTCATCATGTGGAGGGGAGAAGGGTGTTTAGCAGGAGCATGCTGTGCCTACCTACAGTTTTGTCAATGAATCTGTCTTCTAAAATTTAGAATACTTACAGACATGTCTATTTTGAGCACTTATCCACTACCAAGTATAACAGGTCAATGCTGTTTAGGTAAATAATCACCATCTACAATTAAAATCATTCAAAACACACAAATACACTTGTGGAAAAAATGGAGAGTTTCAGACTGTTAAAGCAAGTGGTACATATCCTTCCCAGTTCACTTTAAAGGATTAAAGTAATTTTAAAAAGGCATATAGTATTTGGACAAATAGAGTATAAATTCCTCTGTCATAATCTAAACATTTCAATAAAATACAAAACTGTACATACTTAACAGACATTCCATGAATTAAGATCACTGAAAGTTTACACATGCCACATTGAACCAAACAGCATTCCTAATAAACACAAAGAACTTGAAAGAGTAACAACCTCTCCTTGCTAGCCCAGAGATACACTAACAAATAACACTGTACAAATTATGTTTAGGCTGTAGCACCTAAACTATTCCAAAAATAAATCTTCTCACTCTAAGTTTATGTGCCCCCAGTAGAAAATAACATTATGGACACATACAGGAAATAAAGACAGACTTGTATAAGAAATGAAGCATACATCAGTCCAACAGCATACCAAAGGATAAGGAACAATATTTAATGTGTGCAGACAGCATAAAAAAAATCACTCTAACTTCAAATTCACATGATTTGTAATAAAAATTACAAACTGCATTCAGTCTATAATGGCATCTGCTTGCACATTACAGGCCCACCAGTGTGATAATTGCAAGTAACTATTGGAACTGAATAAAATACTCCAAATACAAGTGCAATACCAGTTTTGTGAGAAATTTCTGGACTAGCTGAGCTACTCCTAGTTTCTCAATGGAGTTTCAATACTTTTTCAGCTATGATATAACGTATAAGACCATGACTTCCGTCCACCGTAAACAGCATAAACAAGACAAATATATACGAACTAAAACTTTCACAGTAGCCAAATTAATAAAATCTTCTCAGGCTATCAGCCATGCTAAATGGTTAAAACTCGCCAGCATTTCAGGGACCATCTCTGTCCCCATCATCAAGATGCCTGAAGCGTCGCAGATGATCCCTCAACATCTGTGAGTTTTAACTATTTCACACAGATAGCCTGAGAGGATTTTATTAATAAGATAAATATACTGACAACTGATAAAGATTGGTATTGCAGCACAATGCACCCTAGCAGAATTGCTCCCTCCACAAAATACAGACATTCTTCTGCACAATGGAACTGTTTCATATATAACAGTTTAAGAGTTAATTTAATCAGGCTGGGAGAAAGAAAAAATGAAAGAATATATATAAACAGCATTCTGTGCAGTCTTCTTACCCATACTGGTGAGTCAAATAGCAAAATGCAAGGAATGAAATTTTGCTAAATGGACTAATTTCAGGTTTCCAACTAATCATTTAACAAGTACTGTATGTATAATGTATCCCTGATATTTAATTAAAAAGATCAGTTACACATTTATTAAATATCAAGTAACTATTAAGGTTATGGTCTTCAGATCCTTTGGTACTCTGAACCTGATGTGCCTTACACTGGGACTGGTAATGTCTATGCATTCAGAACATGAGCATTGTCAGGATGCTGGAGTATCTGTTCTGTAACAACCTGACCACAATGAATCATAAAATACATTTGTATATTGGGTTTATCAACATATCCCCGAGAACTGGAGGTTCCATGTCCAATCTTTTACCAAGTGTTTCATTAACACATTCTAGATGATATTCCAATAGCATCCAATGAGCATTACAGTCAATTACAATGGATCAAACTGACATGGCAGGAGAGCACTATTTCAAATCTCAAAATCTGTGAAATTGTGACATATTACCCTCGGTGCCTAAAACAAATTTATTTCATGGAAGCCAGCATCATTCTGTCCTTAAGTTATGACTGTGTCGTCATACCTTCTTCACAATTAACAGCTGATATGCTGAAACCCAACTCAAATGATGCAATCAATACAACCTAATAACATAATTACATCGACAAATTAAAAATAGTGTCGCTGCTATGGAGTCAAGAAGCTTGTCAAGTATAAATATCTGTGGTATGTATTTCACCAAACATGGCAGTTCTGTGACGTGCAGCAGAAACTACCCACATACCATTTTTACGTTTATCTACATAAAAACATAAAATTTGAGCTGAGTCTACACATAAGTTAGAATGGATATAGAACATACCATTTCTCACTGAAATGTAAATCTAAAGTCTGATTACACTGATAAAATCCATGTCATAAGGCCACAACTCCCTGCTGAAACTGCTGATCACAATGTCTCACAAAATATTTGTTCCCGTTCAAGACAAACTTAAAAATAAGTGGAACCTCTCACCGATCTAAATTATGCAAACATCCCAAATATTTATTAAGCCAGAACAGTATTGCACCTACCTCAAAAGAAAATAAATCAGTCATATTCTACATGAATGTATCCTTCTACTGAAGAAATAATTTAATTGGTTCAGTATTTCTTCAGTTAACTTGTATTGGATGTTAATAACTCCATAAGCAGTATCTGAATCACCCCCTTACACTGACAGAGGCCTTTCAAAGTTGAACATTATGTGTACTGGATCAATGATAGTTATGGCATCCACTTCTAATATGTCTGCAAATTATACACAGAGCAAAATCACTGGTACAATCACACACTTAAAATGTACAAGTCTTGTGGTTTTGTCCAAAATGTGGAACTTGTCATCCCAATTTTTAATCATGTCCCTACACAAATTGTACTAACAAAACTCCACTTCAGCAGCACATTAACTTCAGTGAAGACAGGCCAATATAATGATGTGCAATAAAAACTGGCCGAAGGAAGCAACACATCTGATGATTCAAACATGGTACTGAAACTCTGCTGCAAAGATCTGAATTTTTATATAAACTCAAGAATGAATAAACACAAACAACAATGAATTTCATAAGATAAACTGCAACAAAAAGAATCAATAGCATTTGTTCCTCTTGCAGTTAATATGTTCTTTTCGCATATCATATGATACAGGACCAATGATGAAATGAGAATGCACACTCAAAATAGCCCAACCCAGTACCAAATTTCAGTACTTCATTTGTTTGTCAAGAGGAATAGTTAAGTCATTTCGAGTAAGACCAGCCAATAAGCAACGGAACAAGTAATAATGCGTTAGCTCTGACAGCCACAAGATCAGACCATGCATTCCTGGCTAAGTACGAGTTACAACAACCAAACAGTTCCCTGAATTCAAATAAATTTTGCCTACATTTAATACTACTTAGAGCCGAATAAACTTCTACTTCAGTCATAATTTATCTAGGGGTCATGCAATTTGTTTCCAAGTTCATCTCTGAGTGCCCATCTGACAGGTGCATTTCACTAGCACCAACCGCATTCTGTTCCACAGGATTATCGTATCTAACCGTCCACATGATCTTTCTAAATTCCTACACAGATGTGTTTAGAACATTATACATGTGTCAGGGAATTTGAAAAAGATGTCAAAATTGAGCCCATTATACTAAGTTGCATTAACCTGAAGGAGAGTCTGAAAACAAAGGTCATTTATACTGAAATGCAAATAATGTAACATGCTATGATCCTTGATTAATGCCTCCAATTTCCATGATCCTAGCCCAATTAACTCAAAATTCCTCAGCTGTTTTTTTTATTTAATTTCCACAAGGGAGCACTTAAACAGGAATTTTACAATATTAGCAAAATGTACCAAACTAACAAAAAAAATCTCACATCTACTCTATCTTCTCCAGTACCTGTATAATTGTGGTGAATAGAATTTGGGCATCTCTCTTGTGTAGGATATCACAATTTTAATTGTGACAATACATAAAGCAGATGCAGCAATGTAATGCAGAATTATATGTCAGGTTTTTAGAATAATGTACCTCATTCCTTCTTGATTTTTACTGCTTTGTTTTTAGCAAAGATTTCAGACGGATGGTTAGCAAATAATGAATTGGGTAAATTGTGGATGGAAGAAGTAATGGCCTAATTTAGGATGCTATCCTGATATCTACCTGGAGGGATTGAGGACAAAATAGAAAAATGTCAGAATAGCTGGTCTGCAGGCCAAGACTTTACCTTCGTACCTGCAAAATATGAAGCAGAACGTGTGGTCCTATTGCCTCTTAGAAACTTAAAAGAGGATGTGCAGTACATCTTAAACTCAACAGGGCCACATATTCAACTATATTTTAGAAATCTCCCACATTTCTTTCAACATACACCTTGCAACCATCAACAAAGATGACTGATGATGTTCTTATAGGTAAATAACCAACATTCTTAAGAAATATATTGTTTTCATCTTAGACATATGTTTCTCTGAAATGCTGGTATCCACATATGAGTCTACATGGCAATATCACCACTGAGAAAACTTAAATCTCACTGTTATCATGCTTGGAAAATGAAGCAACTGCCAGATGCACTCATTCACAGCGGAATGGCAAACAGATTGAATGGAAGAAGCTTTTGAAGAAGGCCAGGGCCCACACAGGGCTGTACAGCCAATGATAATAATGATGATGATGATGATGATGATGATGTAATGGGTAGATTTATTTGTAACTTATCATTACTTTAGGCGAGCCCTTTGTTGTATTATGTGAAATTTATATAATAATATGAATTGTACTTTATAATATGTATTGTATTATTAGTATTATGGTTTTTTCCACATCCTATTGTCATCTTTCTTATGGATCCATGGAATGTAATAAACATGTATGTACATATGTATGTGAAGACAGACAGACAACTCAGTAAACATACACCCAGGTGTAATAATTTGGGTTTTCACAGCAATAAAAATGTTGACTGTGATATTCTGAGCTGTAATGACACATTACTGCATGTACAGGCATGTTTACTTATCATTCCACTACTTCAGTTCTTCATGGTCAGCATTTAAGTCAGAGTATTTTTGTCACATGTCTATTTTAAAATGTCCTAGCATATAAAACAATGTGTGCACATTAAATTTTGCAATCAGATCAAAAGGATGGTGGCTAAAACTTATCAGATGATGAAAGTAGCATGCTATCTTATAGAAGGATGAATGGGTCATATGTCCTAAGTGCCTTTCAACCAAAATAAATTATGAACTAGTAGCTGAAGTGCATGATTTAGTAAAAAATGGCAGAAGATTGAGTATTTATGAAGTGGCTGAAAAGCCAAAAATTCTCCTAACTCAAGTCAAACCATTTTAACCAAAATTTTTGGAACAAGGCTGCACAAATGTGAAACCAGTGAGTGCCAAATTAACTGTGACACTGCACCTGCTCACTCAGCCCAGTTCGTGCCGTATTCCACAAGGGTTGCTGCCTCTGCATCCCTAATCACAACTTATGATTGCCTACACGTGAATGTTTCCTGTTCCTCAACTCTTCAGTGACAGCAGCCATTTAAATGGAGTCCTGCCCTGCAGATGATGAAGATTTAAACCCCATAAACAAAGCACAGAGGCCGATATCATGTGACAAAACGGGGGGGCTACACCACATACTGAGGCTGGTAATGAAGGGATAAACTCAATGAAAATCATGAAACATAAAAGACCTGAATAAGTGCAAACATCTGAACACAATGCAATAAAATAGCTGCTGGATGTACAAACAAGACTGGACAATGACCTTTATTTATCCCCATTGCTGTAAATGTTTAACAACAATTACATGAGTTCCCAATGGCCCTAAAACAGTTTCAATTCCCACAGCTGTGCAACAGTGTGTTCCAAAGATAACCCCAGATTATGTAGTGCCTACATACTAGGACAAATGTGAGACAGACAGACATAGATGGACCCATAATGTGTTCTTCAATCATGCTAGAGCACGAACATTCAAAAAGTAAGTCTGAGAGGTGCGTCCAGCACTGGCAGTAATAGCTGGACTACGGTGAACATCCTGAAGGAACCTACTTTGAAAGGGATTAACCTCCCTCACCTGCAAGTACAATACTTTAATTTTCACACATTCAGTCTCAATACTTTTGATCAGACCTAGTGCTCCAGTATATGATTTCAAGAATTTTCTGTCCTGTAAACAATTAGTTCATATTAGAAGTGTTAACCATTTAAGGAAAGCTTACCTCAAATTACTTCATTACATTTCACATAGCCTTAGAAATGACAAGCCTATTCTTCATTTCCTACTGGTGCGTTTTACTGAGCAAATGTGAATTAAACTCATACACATTAGAACACTGTTCACCACAGATATTGCATTTCCAAGGATTGCTATCAGAATGACAACCTTTATGAAGGAAATACAATGTCTGGTCAGGGAATGCGATGCCGCAAAACACACATTGCAGTGCAGGGGCTGACCGTTTATGAGGTGATCGCCAACCTGTAGAGTCAGAAGGCTGTTCAGGTCCTGTTGAAGTGATCGTTCCATTTGTTGTTGTTGCAATGGGCTGTAAGCTGAACGAGCTCTCCGGTCTTGGGGAAGCAGTCGATGGACGACCTCGAGCAGGAATTGATGAACTGCTACGATTTCCAATTTTTCGTTTCAGGTCATCACGAAGCAGTGACTTTAGAGGCGAAACCTTAAATTAAATTAAAGTGTTTCAATTATATTATAACTGTGTAACATTCCTTTCTTTTTTTCTACAATCTTCTTGCTTGTGAATCTGTAAGAAAATGTATGAATACTTAATACCAGGTAAAATGAACTTCATTAGGAGCACAAGAGATTAAACCCTTAATGACCACTAAATAAAATGTGAAATAGTAACAAACTATGAAAAGAACATACTCGGTTTTGTAGTATTCACAGTGGGACTATTTTTGGGAGGACAATGATGGTGTTCAAGCAATTCACAAATTTTCACATTCTAAGGATAGGATTGTTGGAATTTGTGTATAGGTCAGAAGGTAGGTACTTCGAAGATGACCACACTTACTATAGGATAGTGGCAATGTATATACATGACGAAAGTTCAGTGCCTTCAAATTTTTTACGTTACACAGTCCTGCACAATAACCGCCATATCTCCTTACCTGAAACCATGTCCATTTCATCCTATAGTAGGTGTTCTTTATTTGTTCCCTCCTTCCTTCCTTAATTTATTTTTTCCTTCATCCTACACCTTATTCCATAATTTCATTTCTGAACACGACTGTCACCATTACAATGTAATTATAGAGGCTGCATACATTCAAACCAGCAACTGGCTTTCAGTTGATAAATGCATGCGACACACTATCATATCGCTCTAGTTCCATACTAAGAACTTGAAAGCAGACCAGCACAACAGACTTTAACAGCAAAGGCAGTGAACATTCATTCTGTACAATACAGAATCAATCTGGCTATTTAAATGTGACCTCAAAATTCTTCCACTTGAAGGTTCACTTCATACACAAGCAAATAACTCACCAAGTAACTCATGTAGCTTCATCACTTAAACTGAAAAAACAGCAAATTGTTTTTATGTGTTAACTCCAATATTTAGTGTGGATTATGGCCTTTTGGACTGTGATGCTGTGTATTCACATAGGTGATTACCAATGTCTCAGAGGAATACTGGTAACCAACCGTCTATATCAGGGTGGTCCAACTTTTTTCCTCGCTCGGGCCAGAATAGTTTTCCTGTTGGACCCAAGGGTCAAGAAACCCCTACTGTCACTATTTTTGCATTATTCAGAAATGACAAATTACCATTGCATGTGCTGAAATATAAATTTTATTTAAATTTGCACAAACTACTATAATATTGTATATTATTTTAAATTTTATCCTGCAACAACTTGCATCTCTCACAATTTTTACCTGGAAAACTCACACAAATTATTTGAACTCCGCTGCTTTAACAGCTTGTATCTGACACAATAACAATTTGTACCTGTAGAACGTACATCTTATGCTTTTAAAGTCAGTGGCTTTAGTGAGAACACTGAGAAAACTGTTCTTTAACAGTGACAGAATACCAACTTGGAAAAAAAATGGGTTTGTACTAACTAGTAACAAATTAACACATAATTTCACGGGCCGAGTTACAAGTGGTCGCGGGCCAGATCCAGCCTGCAGGCCGCCAGTTGGACCACACCGATCTACATGATGACAGAACGTCACAACCCAGATGACTGCAATGTACTGTACATTTTTACCAGGGTAAAAGTCTCATATCTAAACTAGTACATATTGCACAGTACATCATGTAATTATCTTCTTCTGTAACAGAAGTAGTATTACCTTGATTAGACTGGTAAGGCTACTGGAAGTGGCCGACTGGAACTGGATATTATTGTTTGACTCTACAGATGTTGCAGCTAACGTGTGAGCAGTGGTGAGGTTCACAGGCCCATTACTCCTTTGTGAAGGTTCATCTGTGCCACTACCAGGTTCCTGCTTTATTGGGATAAGTGAGATGGACGGAGTGATAGTTGTGGCTACATCCAGCTCAGATATGGTGCGGGCTGAACTGTTTCCACCATTGCTTGCACCTCCAACTGTGTGACTGCTTGACGGTGCATTTGAGTTGGAATCAACTGAATGTGGTGAACCAGGACAATCACCATTTACTCGCTGTGAAGAAGGTTCTAAGCTTGACTGAGAGTTGCCTCCCAAAGGTGGTTCACACTAATACAGAACAATAACACAATGTCAGATGTTGACCCTTTGAAGGGTGAAACTCAACTGCATATTTACTTTTCTACTGCCAAGAACACATAACAAAAACCTGTTCAAAAATCAGTCACATGCAGTAAACGGAGAAAGTAAAAAAGGATGCTTTCTGAGAATGAAATGGAACTCACAAATATACCTCCTGATGAAAATACCAATTAATGAAGGCTACATCAGGTTGCATGCATAATTCCCACTGGCCCTGCAACAGCTGTCATGTAACATATCACATTAAACCTTAGACTAGACCAAGTCTTGCTCTCCAAATAACCAGACTGTGACAATTATGGGCTTTAGTCGGAGCACTCACTACGAGAGGGCAGATGAAGGCATCAGTCACAGCTGTTGGTTTCCTAAAACCTAGTAATTTATTGATGATTAAATATTAAGTTATAAAATGTAGTTAGTCAATCAGCTAACACTATTAACCTTTTAAACTTAAAATTAAAATGTTAACTTCATGTGTCCATTGCATGTCTGTTTCCAATTCCCTACCAATTACAGCTCTTAATTCCTGACCTCAGAACTTGTCCTAACACCACTCATCGCCCTCTTGTCCGTGTTTCTAGTTTGTACACCAACTTGCAGCAGTTTAAAACTTCAAATTACACAAAATTAGTAAATTATAAACTAATTGTTCAGCAGTTTTAATAATGATATATGTATGCTGCTATTAACCATTAATTTAGTTATAAATTATGTGATGGTTAAGCTAAGACTCCTTTAACCAGTACAAAGTAAATGTAACAATGAGAGAGTACAGAAAACCAATGGTCCATTGCAGGAAGAGAAACAGATGTGCTGATAACTTGACGAAGCTGTTTAGAAATGCTTCCTTCTGGACATGAGTGAATGATTTCTGCAATTTACTTACAGAAGATTATATTTTATCTTCTCTTGTTCAGAACAAAGAACAGAGTTTGATATCAGGATGCACACTCTGAACACAGGACAATAAAATCCTCCAAATTCAAATGCTTCTTGCAGAGCAGCTTAGTGATGGGTCATAAAGATTCATTATTTACTTAATTACACTATGAAAATACAAAATTTGTAAAGACATCTACTTATTAAAACATGGATATACCTCACACTTCTACTCCTGCATGTATCTATTTCTGAGCAGGTTTCTATATTTAACATCTGAGGTTTTCACTGCAGCTGATCTGCTGTGTAGCATTTTGGCTGTGTGCCAATGTTTCAGAGGAATGGTGGCATGCAGCCAAGGTACTTTATGGTGCAATAACCCAGAAGATCATCAGTACAGGTTTTCCATATACTTCTAAATATTCATGTAATGCTGAACATAGATGGAATGAATTAACATTGTTACAGCTAAGATGCACAACACAAACACAAACACTGTTGGAACTAAGCAAGTCATAATGAAATGTCATAGGTCAGAAGGTTGTGATATTTCCTGTCATCCACACTTCTACACAGGGCAAGTAAGTACATCAATCATCACTTTACATCAGGTTTCTGATGGCATGAAATATAAACTTTTAATTTTGTGTCCACAACAGACAACTAATTTGAAGCCATTTTTGACAAGAACATGTTAGACACTGGATGAATGAAAAATACCCCAAACAAAATTTGTAGAATTTAATTAAATAATTCTATGTTTTATAAACGAGATGTGACAATTAAGTACCCAGAATGCCCGCATATATGTCATATCATGTTACAACACATCTGTGGTTGCATCTTGTCTGCTGATGAAGCAAATAAGGCAGTAGTAGCAAAAACAGTGGCAGAGTTACACAAGCATGTGTTTTTGTCCCAGCAGAAAAACGAGGGGCAGGTTTCTGGAGCACGCAACAGCCATCCTGAAGAACACTCCAGAAGAAGAGTTCTAGAAATGTTTTGAGCAGTGAAAACGCCAATTCAGTGTATTGGTGTGCAAGGAAAATACTTCAAAGATGTGCAAGTAATTAGATACAGCTTTCACAGGGGCATTCTGGGAACTTAACTGTCAGACCTCATGTCTGTCCATCTGTCTGTCTGTCTGTGTGTGTGTACATATATGCTGCCCTAACATGTAATGACACAGACTGATATTATAAGTCATTATGAGTTAAGCAGCATAAACCATGATATAACAAAAAAAAAGATCAAAATTGTTAGATAACAGGCTAAATTGCAGTGGCTGCAGAACTCAAGTCAAATGAACAAAGATAATGTGAACAACATACAACATGAATCTTGCAGAACTTTCAGGGCCAAAAAAAGAGAATATCTGGAAGAAAAATTAATGAACGTGATACAAACAGTAGAGACAAAAATATTCAGAGAACTACAAAGAGACATACGTGAATTTAATAAGGCCTAAATAACTAGTTACAAGACGAGAATGATGATCTGCTTGCAGACTCCCGCAGTATTTTGAACAGGTGGAAGAATTACTGTGCCAGGTATTGAATGTACATGAAGTTAATGATTTTAGGCAATTTATAACCCATACCCTGGTGTGGACCTGCAGAATGAGAACACTGTCCAGGCCCTGCAGTGACATCAGTATGTTGCGTTGTAATTTCACTTGCTTCAAGTACAGCAAAGAAGAAATTACTACCAATTGTAACAGTGTGTGAAAGAAATCCATCTTTTGCTGGGAAGAACTCATGTGTAAACACTGATCCACGTCACAAAACATACAGCTACAACTTGAGAAGGCACAAATCACCAGGCACTGGTCAAATTCTGACAGAAATTAACCAACTAGGAATGAAGGAGGAAGTAACACATTTCATTCTGAGAGCCACAAGCTTATTAACTGTATCTGGAATAAGGAAGAATTTCCGGACCAGAGGAAGGAAGAGTGTTAAAAACTGATCATAGTATGTAAGATTTGAGGTTTCACAGCAGTGAGTCTCAAGATTACCGTCTTCTGGGTTATTGCAATTCGTCACCCGGATGACTGAGGCAGTATGACCTCTGAATCAGACTACACGGCGCAATAACTCAGAAGACAGCAATCTTCTGATTATAGTAATTATCATAGAATATCATAGTTACCAACTACATGCAAAATTTTATCCAACATTCTTCTGCAAAGGTTAACTCCAAATGTAGATGAAATTATTGGATATCGTCAGCATGAATTCTAACAGACATTGGGGGGGGGATGGGAAAATACATCAGCTATTCATGGATTTCAAAAAATCCTAAGATAGAGTTTGATTCAATCAATCAATCTCATTCAATTTGTTTTTTCCAATTAAACCAGTTAGGTTCATTAAAGTGTGAATGAAACCTATTCAGTACTGGACCCCTTATCCAGAAAGCCTGGAAAATATGGCTTTTTAGATTTTCTAGATTTTGGATCTTTATGAAGAAGAATATTAATACAGAAAAAATAAATAATATAAATTATATGTTGAGGTATGCTTTAGCATATTTCAACAAATCGTTACCAATTTGTTTTTCTTGAAAAACAGAAAAATCTCTAAAATCTGGGGTGGTATGACCTTCTTCATCTAAAAAACACACAAAGTCATACAATTTATGTCATCAACTAATTAAATAAGTGCAAACAAGCTACCTTTTACTAGTGGTAAGAAGACTGTAAAGTGGCGTCAATCGCACATGTTGGCGAGTCAAAGAACCAAGATGCACCAGTTTTAAACAATACAAGCATGGGAAAATACTGCTGTAAAAATCACCAAGAAAAAATGCAGATTTTAGATTCTTCTGGATTTTCAAATGCTGGATATGGGGTACAACACTAGTAGAATCCACACAAGGAAACATTTGTCTGATGCATTTCTTACTCAGAATGATCTGAAACAAGGAGATAATTTATCACCACTGCTTCCAACTTTCCTTCAGAATATGCAATCAGTAAGGTCAAATAAAATAAAGAGGGTGCTGTAATTCAGTGGGACGCATCCGCATCTGGTCTGTGCTGATGATGTTAATAAGCTGTATGAAAATTCAAATACCATAAAGAGAAACACAAAAGTTCTATTAGATGCTAGTAAGGAAGTTGATCTAGAAATAATCACAGAGAAAGCTAAGTGCATGTTTACATCCTGTCATCAGACTAGAGGACAAAATCATTATATAAATGATGCAAATAAATCCTTTGAAAATTTGGCAGGCAGAGTTATAATATTTTGGGAATAATGCTAACAAATCAGAATTGGGTAATTCATGGAATGCTTACTACATGCAGTTCAGAAAATATAATGAGGAGCTCCATAATTCATACTCTTCACCAGATATTGTTCATTCACTCACTCGCTCACTCTATGGTGCAGGATATTCTTTGAAAATCCAATTGTATACTCGGCATGTCAAAAAATAGCCCACTTTCTTTATGGAACCCAAAGGTTCATGACCATGTTCACAAAAGTGTGCCACCAGACTACCCAGAGCTAGCTGCATCTGGTTCACTCCATCGACTCCTATCTCCCAAAGGTCCACCTAAACGATGTCCTCCCACCTACACCTAGGTCTTTCTAGCAGTCTCCTCCCTTCAGGCCTCCCAATCAATACCCTGTAAACACCCTTCCCCTCCCCCTTGCAAGCTGCAAGTCCCGCCAACCTAATCCTCCTCGATTTAATCACCCTAACAATATCAGGTGAGGAATACAGGCTGTGAACCTCATCATTATGCAATTTTCTCCATGATCTGTCCTCTTCCCTTTAAGGTCCAAATATCTTCCTCAACAGACTGTTCTCCCTCAGAGCGAGAGACCAAGTTCCGCACCCATACAGCACAACCGGCAAAGTTACATTTTTGTATAGTTTACCCTTTAGTTTTCTGATACAAGCTGGGTAACAAAATATTTTGGACCGAATCATAGCAGGCATTCCCTGAATTTAATCTGCTCACCAGAGTGTTAGAGTGACAAAATCAAGGAGGATGTGATGGCCAGCACATGTACCATGCATGGGGAGATGAGAAATACATACAAAATTTTGGTTGGAAATCCCGAAGGAAGGAGACCACTTGGAAGACCTCGCCAATGATGGTAGAATATTAAAATGGACCTTAGGGAAACTGGCTTTGGGGATGCGGATTGGATTCTTGCGGTTCAGGATATGTACCAGTGGTTGGATCTTGTGAACATGGTAATGAACCTTCAGGCTCCATAACAGGCAGGGGGAATTTCTTCTAGCTGACTGTATCATTATCTTCTCAAGAATAACTCTGCTCCATGGACTTCATTACAGTTATATGATAAGCAATGGGCATATAGGTAATAATACATACTGCACCTGAGAAGTGTAATGCAATTTAGATACAAAAATGAACAAATAGTCTTTACATTCAAAGCAAATATAAAAAGTTCCAGAATATAAAGCCTTATGTTTGCATATCCTTACATTAAACACTTTGAACTGTATGAAAATATAAAAGTTCTTAGAACTAAAATGTCAATATTCCATGTGAACCACACCTGAGCAGGTGAAAATGATGCGGGTGCATCTGCCATTGATATCTCAACATGAGGAGTGAGGAAGTGCATTGGTGGAGTGGCGTTGTCCACTGATCTTGCTCCCATTGAGTCGCCACTGTCACTGTACGTTGCTGCAACACTCAGATTGCAGCTCACCTCCAGTGGTGAGCAATGGCTGCCTTGTAGTAATGAAGATGCACTGGGTGCACTTGGTCCAGGATTGTCCAAGTCAATTCCATGTCTGAATTGATAAATTATAATGTTAAAGCAAAGCACAAACTAAAACGTATTTATTCCAGTTGCTAATAAAATTATATAATGTGCAACAATACAATTTTAAGCAATAATGTTAAATAAATTACTTACTGTCTACAAAATATGGTACACACCTTATGAGTAAAATAAAATTACACCTGCCCTCCTGCAGAGAGCTCATTTATAAAAGTAAATTAAAGCTATCCCACTACATGCCATGTAGGCACTCAGGAGGAGATAAGGTATAGCTCCTATTCAATCTCAACCTCAGCACTAGATGAGGTCAAGTGATCGGCATCATGCCCCAGCTGTGTTTTACCCCCTGGAGAGAACCCCGGTACTCATTGGACAGGAGGCTGGGTGAGCCCCAGAGCTGAGGCTAGAAGAAAAATACTCTGCCCATCGGGGATCGAACCCGGATAGTCCAGCCCATAGCCCTCATTTATATCTTGAAAAAATGTGAAGAATCTTCCCTTCTGGTCATAACAAAACTGTGTCAAAAAATGGAATAAATAGCTTTTTAGTTTCTGATACCCCAAATATACATATATATATAAAGATGATATTAAAACAGACCTTAAAGAAACAGTAAGTGGTTTGAACTGGATTCAACAGGTCCGGAACAGGATGAAATTGCGGGCTCTTGTTAACACTGTAATGAACCTATGGGGTTAGCAAATGGCAGGAAATTTTTGACCATCTGAGTAGTTTCTCAAGAAGGACCCTGCTCCATGGAGTTATTTTGTTGGTTGTGATATTGTGTGTCAGGTAAGGGCTGTGACACACCTGAGAAATGGTACAGTTGTGCTTGTAGCATTAGTCATAAAACTAGCAGGAGAAAACTTAAGACCTTGGAGAAAAATATGTCGCAATGCTATTTTAGCCTTCAAAACCACCAGAGAACTACCCCAGGAATGAACACAGTGTCCTGTGATGAAAATCTGGAACCCAAGTACTTGAGCACTGGAATTTACAACATCAATTGATCTGGTACAGGGCTCACTAATAGGTCTGCAAATTGATGTATGATCTGTGCATGAAACGTCTGAAAATTTGCAGTCTTCTGTTTAAATAATAGACAAGTGTTGATTGGTTGGTGATCATTTTTCAAAGTGACTATTAGATGCAGGCAATGTAAAAACAAAAACATATCTCTCCAACACAATATTTATTGACTCTTACCTACTCATCTTCTTATTAACAAAACAAATGAGTGAACTGTAATTTAATTTAATGTACTGTACACAAGAATTAAATCCCTGTGACCTACGCCACCTGGAAAATTATGTGCTGCACTACTAGCAGAAAAACAATCATTCTTGTTCTAAACTGGTGTCAACTTTACTGGTAATACTTTACGACAGCGGAAGTAATAGAACAGTCAGTAATGACAAAACAAATTAATAATGAAACTATGAATGGCAGAAAGCAACAAAAATGTGTGAGAAATATCTTTGTACTAAAGACCAATGTTCTCCACTCAGGAATAAGGAGGGGGGTATGCATGCGCACATCACTTGCCTACAAAGCCGCCTACATCACAAGTATTTACCTAACTCACACATATAGACTGTATACTCCTTATGTTTCTCTAAAATACACGAGCACATTTTAAACATTTTCTCCTTTCTCTACTGATTCCATTTCTTGTTGGAAACTGATTATTTACAGAACAACATGGATTCAGAGGGCTCTGACTTTGTATTACACACTAATCAAATAATGCAATGTATAACCTATGATGTATGTTGAAATATATGTGTTGGTTGGTTGTTTGGTTGGTGATCATTTCTCAAAATAACTATTTTCAGTTAAAACAGCTTCAAATATATCTGTCGAAGGATTTGAAAATCATGTAAGAGGATAACCATGCTACAGCATAAATGTTCATTGCTTGCTATTTTGCTGTCAGTCTTGAAGTGAAACTTTTTAGCAGTACCTTAGTGATGAATCAAACACAACAGGAAATAAATATATTTTAAGTATTCATCAAGGCAATAGTTTTCACAAGAAACTGACTGAATAATGACCTTACAGCTAAGAACAAGACATACAAGAAGCTAGTTACCATGTCATGCACAATATGATCAATGATGTGAACTCCTACAAATTTAATTTCTGTTAAGATGGCTGTCTTCTGGGTTGAAGCACTGTGTAGACTGGTAGAAGATTACCTACTTAATTTCTCTTGATACTTATACATACAAGAGTTGATAAAAACCACAAAAGTTATAACACAAGCGTTGTTTCTTCCACAATGTAAATAAAAATTATATTTAATTTTAAAAAATGTGTTCTGTATAGTAATATATGAAATACCTTAGTAACACTCTTCTATTTTATAAATGGTGTAAGTGTACATTGCAGCATTTGAGGTTTTCATGGTGCTGAATATAAAAATGGCTGTCTTCTGGGTTGTAGCGCCATATAGTCTGTTAGAAGTTTACCAATGTTTCAGAGATCCTTGCTGCCCTCCAAACCACTGGTAAACTTCTACCAGACTACATGGCACTACAACCCAGAAGACAGCCATGTTCCTAAGTGCACACAATTTGTCTGATAAAACATGAACCACTGTGGGTCCTTCAGCACATCTGCATATCAAAGTACTGTTTTTACACAAAGGTCCCCAGTGACTGTTTTAGTAGTTACAAGGAATGAAGCATTCAGTGCATGTCTTTAACTGGAGAGGTATAACATGGTACTCAGTACTGACTTACTAAAGTATATCATTCCTTGGATGCTTAAATCTTGACTTAAATGAAAATCAGGTTGGAGGAAAACTCATATTTTCACTTTCTTTCACATTCCTCTAATACCTCAAACAAGAAATGAGCTTTCATTCATATTAAAATACAATTAGTGCGTACATACATTTTTATACACTGATATGTGAATATTATGATTTTTTTAATATGAAATATTCACATAAAACTTCTATTGCAACTGCTCTGTAATCTTTTCCAACAGATGCAGTAAACAGCTTCTGCTGGACTACGTAAACTAGCAAAAACTGTTTATGCTTAACACTACAAATGCACACATGCCAGTTTATGAAGTACAAGGAGACTTTTAATCCTTTCTCCGCAGAATATTAAAGCTGCATACTCACCCACGTGCGCCGAGCTTCAGTCTTTGTTTCCTTCTTGGTTTCCTTCCCTCTCTTTCCTTCATCTCAGAAAATTGAAACAAATTACTAAGGCAAGGAAGTTATTATTGTACTAATGTACTTTTCCTCTCAGCGAGCAGTGATTGCTGCACCACTCACTGCTGACCAGAACAACTAAACTAATGGTTCCAAACAATTTCTTCAAGAGATAGTACAATATATACTATTTGTTCCTGGCCATACATATGTAAGAAAATTAACAAATAATAAACAATAAGTGCTGACATCAGGGGACAGTATAACACAGCTGAAGCAACATGTGCTAGCCTGGGATTACATTGGTGTACCAGTCAAAGGGTTACAAGTATGTCCCAAAAACTGGCCAATCTTCTCTGAGGTAAGCTAGTAAACAGCATTTCAGCTACTTTGTGAATGATTCTTACCTGTTGAAGAAATGTACTCTTAAACTCTTCATGGATCCAGCCCGATAGCTGCACAATGGACAGGATTTTATCATGTCATTTTGCCCTACATGCTCATTTTGAAAGTGGGCTCGCATAGCAATTTGACGCTGAAATCCACGGTTGCAGATTGGACAATGATATGGCAGAGTTTTTGTGTGTGTTGTGAAGTGTTCAGCCAGGTGGTCCTTGCGAAAAAATCTTTTCTGGCACACTCTGCACTCGTAAGGCTTAACACCAGTGTGGCGCATCTTATGGCGTCGCATATTTGCGCCATTTGAAAATTTCATGTTACACACATCACATTCAAATATTTTACGATCGTGACCTCGATGTGCCTCTCCCGGTGCAGAAGATTCTCCCTCACCACCCGAGCATCGTGAAAGATGCGTAAGCAATGCGGCACGAGACAGAGTCTCATAACTGTCACATCGTTCACATCGATGGACTGGTATAGCACCATCACTGGAATCATAGTTCGTGTTTAGAGTACCATCCGGACCACCCGATGCTAAGGGACTCCCTTGTCCACCAGACTGATCAGCTTCATTGTCTTGATCACCATTTTCCTCATTGCTGTGACCACCTTCATTCTGAGTGCCAGAGTCAGCCTCATTTTCATTTTCTGGTGTTCCATCTGTCGAGCTTCTGTCTGGCTCTGCCATTCTCTGCCTCCTCACACTGCCCACTGCCTGTTAATTAAACTCAAACTAAGTGTGCTTGTGAGTTCAGTGGAAAATTTCAATGATTATATATGCATTTCTCAAAGAAAGAAAAAAAAACACAATTTAAAATTAATACCTCCCTTTTTACCTGCAATGGAGAACGTGGCAAATATTCTGCATAGCACAAAAGAGAATTAAAGAAAACACAAAATAAAAAATAAATATATGCTGATGACACCTGAACATTAGTTAGGTTTAAAAACGTACGGTTTATTAATAAAGCTGTCGGTACTTCTGATTATACAGCACTAACAGACAAGATTATTAATGGAAAATAAATTATAATGAATGGAAAATGAAGAAATCATGGACTAATTTAGGGTAAGCAAAGGTAAGAATATGAATATGGCTATAAATTTTGACCGATGGTAATTGCCAACAGCATATGCCCTGTAGGTTGGCAAAATTTGACACCTCTTTAAAACACATTATTCTTGCATTATACCAAACATCTTGGCTCAGTGGTTATTATGTCTACTTTGTATATTGCAGGTCCCAGGTTCAAATCTCAGTACAGAGACCTGCTATCATAATTGATGTTTTTATGGTTTTCTTAAGTCTCCCCAGGCAAATGCTATGATAGTAACTTAAATTATGAAGAGACTGCAATGTCATGATTTTATTACAAGAAATTCCACAGCTGACTACAACAATATGAACCAAATTTTTGTTTGTAGAAAAAAAATGAATTTCATGAAAAACTGAAGGGTTGCATCAGGTGACAATGAAATTGTAACTACACTATCTATCTGAATGTGAGTTACATATCGATACAATAGAATTTCCTTAGCTTTTAAACGGGCCCCTTATAAGCTTTGTGGCTTATACAGAACAAAGATTATGATAATTTGTTTTGTGGAGGTAGCATGTCAAAAATTAAAATTGTTTATGATTTTTGCATCCCTGCACCTCAAAAACTGCAAGACAAGGCACGCTGAAATTTTTCAAGAATATTAATTTCTGTGGAGTCCAAAAGCTTGCCAACTTTCACTGAAATCTCAAAGGGTCAGGTTGTGGACTGACTCAAGTGTGTCAAGATTTCCAGAAGACAAAAACCTACATGACATATACCGTCAATACTGTCAAAAAACATAGTGACAGTCTGCAGAATATAGCTCATTATTAAGATTATTTATTCTGTAACAGGCATAACAACCACTTTTAACTAAGTATAACAAACTCAAAACAGTCTGAAATGGATGTGTATGGTGGCTACAAGTTATGAGACTTGTATCTGATACACCCCATGCAGAAAATTAATGAACTTTCACGTTTTTTCTCAAGTATGTAACCTTCAAAAATGAAAAACAACCCACACTTTATACTTATTAACACAACAAAGTTCTTATTTAAATTATTTCCTTTAAAATTTTATTTAAAATGTGTAATTTTGGTTCTCTGTATGCTCTTACTTCTTTGATTTAATTACTTAACATTAGGTTAGGTTAAATTCAGTATATCACAAGAATGAAACTGCCATCCCAACACCTCAGTCATTAGTTATGAAAATGATAGTTCACCTAATTTATACAGTGACATATGCTACTGAAGCCAGGACATACAGCAAGAAAAACTGTGTTTACATATTCTGCTACATTTTAACTCAGTATACTGCAGGCATGCTATTTTTTAAGAGTGTAAGGTTAAGGACTAATGGAGCACCCATAAAGCTTTCTTCTCTGCTGAATACTGTCAAATTACCTTTGTCCTATTGAATCACATCAAATGTTTCTGACAAAACTTTGCTACATTTCATGTTTCTAACACTGAATTTGTTTTCGTACCAATTCTGTTTACAATTACTGGAAACTGATGACATCTACACATGACCAGAATACATCAAATACCTCAACACAGCAATACCTACATCGGGCCATCGAAGAAACTTAACCTAATTGCAAATGATGAATTTAAAATGCATGACGGAAAACTTTCCAACGTCTGTCTTTTACACATAAAATTCTAACCTCCAGGTTAACAAAACAAAAAATTATGGTCAATCCAATAACCCCAAAAATTCGAAATTTTGCCAATAACCTTGTCTATAAATTTGTATACGCTTCACGCTATTTCTTGTTAGGCGTCGTAAGGACCTGGATTCCATTTCCAGGTTACAAGCAGGTGAAAAGACAGCTATGGAATAAGCCTGAAACGGGACTTTGAACTCGAATTCCTAACACGTTATTATATAATATGACAAACAAAGTACTATTAGAATACTGTACATTAATACTTACATATCCCCACGTACAAACAAAGTTTCAGTTCATTCATTTACAAACATTTTTCAAACAAAACTACATTACAATTCACGACCGCATTAACTCCAGTGACCTACCGGAAGTAGGAAGTGTTACAGGTTGTAAATTTCCGCTTGGTTTCTAGTACAAGTTACAGCGTATTTGATACCTAAGTACGTAAGTATCCAATGTGTCCTGACATATTTAAACTTTTTGAAAGTAAACATGATAAGTCATATAGGTCCTCATCTTGGATATGAAGCCCCCAAATAATGCAAGATAAATATAAGAAAATAGGTACAAATATTTGGTTACGATTTTAGTGCTCAGAAGTTAGGTCCTTACGATCTGTTCAATTTTGACTAGTTGGTGAACCTGATAACTTGAAATATGTCAACACGAAATTAATGTCATCTGTTATGTGATATGTACACAACACTTAGAGTAGAAAGTTGCATACTTTAATAATGCCATTAAATGTTTCACGGGAAGAAGTTTTCACGTCTTATAAACATGAAGTCAAGAAACTTCGTCGTCTAGGAAGGGAATGGAGGGTCAAAGATAGCGACATAGATGAAATCATTCACCATTCTTTCCAGCTCTTTGAGGATCAGCACAAGACAAAAAGTGTGGAGTATTCCAGTGACAGAATTTCAACAAAGTCGATACGTTTCTTTTATTCATTTCAGCATATAGTCAGAATAACTGTTGTTATGTTCCTGATATTAACAGCTGCTTGTTTGTTTATTACTTACCATAAGCCTACATATAACGTGGTTGTCAGAAATGTGCAAGAATTAATATACCCTATAATGAAATGCTTGAGAAGAGTAACGCTTCCAGTTGTTAAGGCTATGCCATCGGTTACAGGTAACAAAAAAAGGATAGTTTACAGTGAAGTGTAATTAAAATGATTGTCATGGTTTTTCTCATTTTGGTTACATTGCACATGTCAGGTCGTACTACTCTTAGTTCAATATTTATTGACGCGAATTTGGCAGCCAAAACTTGGAAAATTGCAGCTTGAAGGCTAGATGCAAATCATGGGAGAATTTACTTCAAAGGACACATTTGTAGTGAGTAGATCAAACTTCCTAAGCTGAATCAATGTTTCTGTCTAGAGTGAAATAGTAATTATACAGGTTGCTTCAGGTGTTGTTTCTTGCTTTTCCCACCTCCTACAATCTTTATGGATATAACACATATTACTAGTTACTCACCAGTCACATTCCACAATGTTAGGTTTCCTAACATGGGTTGCCATATCAAATTCTGTTGAACATTGCATAACAAAGGGCTTATGTTTTACAGTATCAACTGTAATAAATAAAAGACTGGAAAATTGTATGGCAAGGAGTATTGCTTATGAAATTGGTAGTATCTGCCACATAATTTACCTTACATTAACTAACCGAGCAACAAATGCATCATATGAGAACCTTACTTTGTTTTCCATGGTCACCAGTTAATGGCCTGCAAACATATTATTTACAAACTATAGCTGTTTGTATTTATAAAGTCTATTCAAAATTTTCATAATATCAACTTATAATTTAACATTTAAAAGCAGTATCTTCATTTCCCCAAATGTACTTTTTCTCCCACATGAATATATTACCATCACAACAAATGAAAACTTGATTATGCCAGCATTCTTAATCTATTTAAACATTGGTGGATGAGTGATCAGCCCGTCACAAGGCCTCTACCTAGACAGGACAGCACAACATAGAAAGATGCAAACAAATATCCATGCCTTGAGTGGTATCCAAACCTATGATCTGTGTCCAAGTGATCAAGGCCTATACCCCAGACCATGCAGCCACTGTGACCAGCTGATTATCTTCTTACTGTCAGAAATTTTATGTGACACAAGTATAGTGGTGATCTGGTAAAGGCTAGTTTAGTATGCCCATCAGTTAGCTGCATATCTAGTTAAATACCAAACTGCACAATTGTTATATATATACACAGTACTGTACCTAATCATTCCTTGAATATGACATACATAAAAATGCATTAGCATAGAATTGTAGAGTTAGAATATTTTCCAATGGAAGACTAGAAGTAAAACCAATTTACTAAATTTTAGTGTACTAGATTGGAAAATATATACTTTCTTTTCAGTTCATATGCCACACACATATATACACATCTAACTTTTCTGTCATTCTGCACCCATGTAATAACTTTGCTTACAAATTAACTCATTTTGAATTGTGATATTTATGGACCTTATTAAAATGTATCTATAGAGCACTGACCAGTTGTGGTAGGGTAAAATTGTGTTATATATTGTAACTTCAAATAAAATTCAAATTCAGTGACAGGTCAGGAAGGTTAGGTAGAATAGAATATTTCAGGTCTAGAAAACATAACATTTAGTGGTTGTGCTCACTGTAAGTTCTTTTCAAAACTGATCATTCACTCTGAATTTCAGTTAAATGTGATATGAAGTATGAAGGGAGACTCTAACGCTATGCAATGCAACCCTTGTGATTTATATTTTCCCAGCTTTGTATTCTGTTCTTTGCACTTTACTAATGTTGTTTGTATTTGTAGTGTGGTATGATGAAATGTGTCTCCTTGAGAACCCTCACTTCCAAGCTACTGATATGAATTGCTGGGCATGTGAAGAAGTCCGCAGTGTACTTGATCTGTCAAAAATGCACAATCCAAGAGATTTCCAACCGCACACAGGTTTTCCTTATATTGTTAAGGTAAGTTTTCAGTCCTGTCCACAACATTAGTTGTGTAAGGCTCCACTGTGGTAATTTCTTTTCTTTTTCTTTCCAGGGTGCTGGAGCTGCAGTCACTTATGGGACACTGCAAAAGATGTATGAAAGCAATAGGCATTTGATTAACAGAGATGCATATAGAATCTCAAGTACTGTACATGAATGGAAGTCGGTAGCAGATCTAATGGAGTATAGTTTAGAAAGAAACCCAACTACCAATCAGGATGCTCATATTGAATGGTAGGTGACCTACAGTTTAGTAGTTTCTTCCATTTCATTCTTGATCTGATTTAATTTTGGGCAGTGCATTGTTGCCATGGGTAATGGAACTGAAGGCGACTCAGCTGCACTGGATATTAGATGAAATTGATTTGCTTCACTTATTTCCAGTCCATCATGTTATGT